CCCCCCCCCGGTCATTCATGACGGGCAATTTACTAGTTTAAATTCATATATTTCTTTAGACATTTATTATAGCTACTCATTTTTTTATTTTTTTTTCACGCTTTTTTCAGGTTGGCTTGCTCCTGGCTTCCTGCATCATCCCAACTGCATTAACTTGGCTCTACCTTTTAGCTGCTATTTCATAAACAGAACTCATGTGGCTTATTGGAAATACCGATCTGCTTTACACATGGTGAGCAATACAAATGATGCACATGTCCAGCAAACAGAAAACTAGCTCCTCTTTGTGTGTCATTTAACTTTTTGGCTAGATATATCCATGGATGTTATGGTTATACCTCTCTTCCTGAGAGACAACTGCAGGGGCATCCTCATAAGTATGTTAAAATGCAGTGAAAAGCCTGATGACTTTTTATAGTTGATGTTTATATTCAAATAGGATTACATGCCTTTGACAGCATGACTTCTAGCATAAGACTTTTTCTGAGAAAAATGTAGCTTACGCCTACATCAGCAGTTCCCAACCTCGGGCGGATCGCGACCCAAATGAGGGTTACGGGGGCAATCTCGGTGGTGCCGCACACAAAGGGCAAGCCACACTATGTGCCAGGAGTTCCCCTGCCCCCGGGCTGCCACCGCTGCCGCACTGCGCTCTCAGCAGTGGGTCGTGGCAAAAAAATGTTGGGGACCGCTGGCCTTACATGGCTTTAGAGAGGTAAGATGCTTTCAGGCTTTGAACGCTAATTCTCTTGTGTTTGAGCATTGATTGTTAGTTAGATGGTATTTGAACTTTAACTAAACAGTCTTAAAATGATGGTGATTGTCGATTCCTTGGGGTATCTTTTTCTGTTTTTATGAGTTTAGTTTGGTGAAAGGTGCTGCCTTTATAACTCTTCAGACTGAAATTCTCAAGTCACTTCCTCTGCTGGATTTATGACCTAAAGTTAAGAACTGTGTCCCGTTCTTACTACTGAACTCTGTTCAAAACCTCTGCTTTTCATGTGTAGTCAGGGGCTAAACTGAACTTCTTACATTTCAAACTATGTCAGAGTGGACATATGTGACAGTTCGAGTGTTGTTTGTTGTTGATACCAAAATAATATTGGGTATTTTAAAATGGTCTTTGAAATTTCAATCAAGTGAGATAGACCATGATGTCTGCCAAAGCAAGCAGTAGAAACAGTTAGTCTCCAGTAATCTCTTACCAGCTTGGGAAGACATTCAAAGTTAGTCTTGTTATTTTCTATATGAAATAAGCAAATTTAACCACTGAAACTGCTGCAAGTCTTTATGTGGACTTGATAAAGTTAGTTGGGGAAGGAGGGAGTTTATTGCTTCTTGGCCTCTTGAAGGCTCAGATCGAGTGAAGATAGGGGGAACACCTTTTAGTTTTGTCCCTGACAGTGATCAGTGGTCCCAAAGGCTGCTTGCAGACATGGAAAGAAACCCCAAAACAATCCTTTACTTTAAACTCAACACACTCCCATGTCGAGCCCAGCACACGCCCAGAAGAGGCAGCACATTAGTTGCACCCAGCTTTTCCAATGTCTCTATATAGATCAAGTGCTTTAGTGGGGCTTTTTTGGTGCTTTCATCTAATAGCTGATTGACTCAGCCAAAAGCACCAAAAAAGCCCTACTGAAGCACCTAATGTATACAGACGCTGCAGAAGTGGTCAAAGTAACATGCTGCTGCTTTTAGTAAAGTGCATCCCCCTGCTTCTGTCAGCACCCAAAGAGACTAATTTCAGTAGAGAGCGTTAGAGCTACAAAAAAGTGTGATAGACTGACCTTTGCATTGATTGTGAGAACTGTTGGGGCTTGTAATCAAAAGCATCTCAATTCTGAAGCAGTGTTGTAACTTCCCTATAGCTTCTGCCCAGGCGAGGAGTAATATTTTGCTTTTCCAGAGCTCTCATGTCTGGAGCGTGAGGCAGTGTTGTACAGCTTTTGTTGCACTGTATGATTTCTCAAGTCCCATATTAGGGACAGCAACTGCAGTTCTAGCTAGGTGATGATTTGCCATAGGGGTTTGTTCTGGGTTTGGTGTTCCTTAACAATTTTATTTAGTAACTTTGGATGTAGAAGAAAGCTTTCCAGTTATGTTTGCAGAGGATCTGCAGGCTACAACAGATCAGAGTCAACATCAGTGTGATGCTGTCACAAAAAGCAAGTGCTATTTTGGACTGTGTTCATGGAAATATTGTATGCAAGACACAGGACAATACTCTACTTGGTGCTGATTAGACTAGAGGAAAGGTCAGCAATCCATGGCCCAGATCTGGTCTGTGGAACCATTGGGTCTGGCCCTCCATATGTGGGGCTTTGGCAGGTAAGGGTCTTTGGCTTTGGGAGCTCTCCCACTGCTTCTGCAGGGACAAACACCAGCTGTAGGTGGGTCCTAGCACCCGCCTGTCTGTCTGTCTGACTCTGGGTGGGTTGTTCTGAGTCATAGTTGGAAAAAGTTGTCTACCCCAGGGCTAGAGGACTGTGGGCAGTTCTGGGCTTTGCATTTGAAGAAGAATGTAAAGAAGTGGAAGAGGATCCAAAGGTGAGCCACAAAAATGAAAGGGTGTTCAGGCTATACAAGGAAAAGTTGAGAGAGCTGTGTTTGTTTAGCTTGGAGAAAAGAAGATTAAAGCAAGGGACATGATAGTGGTTTTCAAATATTTGAAAGGCTGCTATGAAGAAAAAGGAGAATGACTGTTGTCCTTTGCCACATTGGGCTGAACATGAAGCAGCAGTTTTAATCTAAAGCTGCTTTGCTGTAGTTTAAATCTCAGAGAAACTTCCTACCTGTAAGAACTGAAAGATAGTGGAACAAGCTGCCTAAGGAAGTTGTGCCTTCTCCTTCATTTTCAAGAAAAGGCTGAACAAGGATCCATCTGGGATGGTTTAGGAATAGCAACCAGTACAAATGCAGAATACTTTTTTTTGTATTCTCTCTTTTCCACTTTGTCTGAATAGAAGTTTCTAATCCCTTTCCTGAGATCTACCACTTCTTAATAGGGTCTTGGCTTAAAAGGGAGATGTTGTCTCTAGTTGTTTCTTAGGAATGAGGGGGAAGAAGGCTAAAATCTAAATTCAAGGACTTTTTTGGTTTTAGTCAGGATATAGTTGTGGGTAAAGAAACATTATGCAAAGAATGGTGGTGTGGGACCCCTCTAGACTTGGTTTCAGAGGCTGTCCTGGGGCAACTGAACTAATATACCTGAGTATGTACTGGAGCAATTTCTCTCTAAGCTTCCAAGTATGGTGTTAGGCCTGATGATGGTGAATGGTGATAATGATCTCTCTCTCAACAACTGAAAAGGCTTGTGGGTCTGCTGTGCTGTATGCAGCACATGGGCCCTCGTTTTGAGGTACCCTCAGGGTCTGGGAAAGGACTGCAGGATGCAAGTTAACCCTTATTGTTTAGGTATTTGTTTGTTTTTTGATTACATTGTTTCCTGTGGGGACAAGCTTGACCCAGGGAAAATAAAACTGCTGTAAAGAGTGGCAACCTATTACAAAGGATTTGGCATCTTGATTAGGTAAATTGTCTGCTGCATCTTCAGATTCAAATTGGAGGTGTTAGACACACAAACAAATTCAATTACTTGTTGGTTGGTTGAAAGACCCATGAACATTTTCAGAGTTTGATCTGTAGGTAGATCAAAACTGGACCTAGCTGCAGCTTCTTCACGGAAAACAAAATAAGCTCACAGCAGAATTGTCTCTCAAAACAATTTGTAAATACTTGTCATACAGTCTCACTGAGTTAAATATGTAGCATTATTCTTTTGCAAACAAATGGGCTATAGCATGGCTATGGTGATTTAAGGTCACTAAGGCAATCCATGGAAGAACTGAGACCAGCATTCTGACTCCTAGTTCTGTTCTTAGATTACACCCCACTTTCCTCCCTTTACAATAGCCCCAAATATACTAGAATGCTTTGTCTAAATATTTGTGAAAATCTCTTAAACTAAAGGGATCTAAACACTATCCCTTCCATAAATTGGACCAGCCAGTCGGATAGTATCCAAGAAGAAGCTGGGTAGCACTGAGAAGCTTCTCAGTGGCTGTGTCTACATGAGATGCTGACTGCGCAGTAGCGTCACGTGGCCCAAAGTGTGATGCAGTGCTATTGCATAGTAGTAACAAGCTACTGCACAGTCAGCATCACATAAAAGCTGTTTGGCTACGCTACTGCACAGTGACTCCAGTGCAGTCAGTGTCTCGGGGGGGGGGTTGTGATCAAAACAGGCCCTGTAACAAGAAGCATTTAGAAAGGTAGTTTGTTCCTTACAGTATTTTAGGATAGGTTTGTACTTGGCTTTTGTACAAAACCGTCGAGTTTTATCATTTTAAAACTAGACATTGTTCTAATTCCTGGGAAACAGAAATTGTGCACAAATTCCCAACTGTGGGACCAGTTTTTTGAGTTTTTTGCTCCATGCCAGTGGGCTTTGTGCGCTGCATTCATTGTGGAAACGGAGAGAAGAGAAGCCCGGAACATGAAGTGGTTGCTTATACTCCAGTAACTGGACAGGATTATTGGTGCTTGTGTGCCATGGGGTTGGATTTCCTTTAAAACGAGAGTGCTTCCTTTTTACAGCTGCTGAACTCTTACATAAGACTAACTTGTTTATTCACTGTGTGCATCTCCTCCCATTTTTTCTTTGGTGTGAGTGGAATGTAAGATTTCTGCTTCACTTTACTTCTGAATGGCAGAAATAGAGTGGAGCCAAAGGAAAACACTGAGTTCTGTGTGATGTTTTCAAAATAGCAGAACAATGAAACTGTTTTAGAAAGGAAGAATGAAGTGCAGCCAGTATCTTCTGCTGCCAGTGTGGAAGAGTTCAGAAACAATACATAAGTGCTTTTGCACCTTCACACCACTGCTTTCTGCTGTTGTTGAGAGGAGATGAGAAGGAAACTGTGTAGGGCTCAAGTATCAGAAGTACTACCTCCTCTAGGTACTACTCATCTTTCCTGATCATCAGAAGCTGTATTTGGGCACCTCTGGGTACAGACCTTCTTTGTAAACAGACAGATCTGAAATGTTGAGACAACTCATCTGATGGCTGCCCATTTTCCTCCTTGATGAGCATGGGGGTATTGGAAGCTGTCCAGATGGAAAAATGACCAGAGACTAGCTGTGGGGGTGCTTTTCTGGTAACAGTGACCCAATATAAAGGCAGGTTGTGGAGCCTGTCTGCCCTGAGAAGCAGAAAAGTCTATCTGTCTG